AATCATCATCTTGGCGGATCAGCAAGGTAGAGATCTTAGGCAAGGATTGCAAAAGTTAACCGGTGATGATTTCAAGGTTTACTGCTATATGAAACCAGGTGCCACACTAGCCGAGGTATTGAATATATATAATCCCAAATCAATAAATCTGACGGAAAGGGACACTATTGTTGTACTCGGAGGAATAAACGACAAAAATCCGGAGCTTCTACAAGTTAAACTTAATATGTGGTTGAGTGGCGTACATCACGCTAAGGTTATCATTTGTGAGGTTCCCCATAATTCTTATTTAAATGTACAAAAGCTAAATTATGTGTTCAGATTTATTTCAAGTAGACATGAGAATGTTTTGTATCTAAATATGAATTATAATGAATTTTCTTCGAGATTATATCTTACTCGTTCATTGTTAAAGGAGATATTACACTTGGATTATGTTTTTAAGTTTAAACAGTATACATTATTAAAGCAAGAAGAGGAACTGAAAAAGTTTAAAAGTACTTATACACAAACTGATACGTCATTCATGTTAAATAAAGATCAGATAGATAACAGATTAAATAATAGTAATGTAGATATAACAACTTATACGGATCTATCCCCTAAAAACTGCAATTCCTTTTTTCACCCATAATAATCACTTAAATATAACGCATAAAACCAATAATATTAATATTTTTATCAAAATGTATGTGGTGTTAGTAATAAGAAAAATGAGTTGGAGTTGTATATCCATTCAAAGAGGGTAGATTTGAACTATGTTTGTTTTTGTGAACATTTTTTAAATGAATCTTCTGCCCCTACTTTTTATCTGGAAGGCTATAGGACAGTAGCTTATAATTTCCGAATGAGTAAAAGGCGTGGAGGATCTATAATATTAGGACAAAACGATGTAAATTGTGAAGAAATTGCTTTCTGTAAGAAATTGTACAAATCTGAGTGTTTTGAGATATGTGGTGTAAAAGATAAAGAGTCGAATATTAATGTTTGTTGTTGCTATCGAAATCCAGTAAAAAAGAATTTTGATGTATTTTTAGAAAGTTTAGAAAAGTTTTTGGAACATTTTTTCAATAAGAATTGTGTTTTGTGTGGGGATTTCAACATTAATCTATTAAGGGAAGATAGACAAAAAAATGATTTTTTAAAACTTTTGACATGTTATAATTTTAAATGCTTAATTGATACTGCGACATATAAACGCAATGACACGCAATCTTGCATTGATAATATTTTGACCAATATGCACGATACCGAAATAATGACTGAGATAGATCACAATGGACTTGCGGATGGACATGCGGGTTTATACTGTACCTTAAATGTGGACAATCAGGGATTTAATAATAAGAACAAGAGTATTAAGATTATGCGTAGAGTTTACAATGAACAAAATTCGAAAGAGTTTGAAAAACAGATCTTTGCAATCGATTGGAAAAACCTAGGAATAAATACATTTCTCAAAAATTTTGAAAACTCGTTCAAAACTAGTTATAAAAAAAGGACAAGAAAAGTAAAACCATATAAAAATAATAGACTACAATGGTTGACACAGTGAATTAGAGTATCTAGTAAGATGAAACGATTTTTGACACTTAATATTAAAATATGCCACGGAGAGTATGCAAACCAATACAAAAGGGCATATTTACAGATCTATAGAAAGCTAAAAACAGCTAGGAAAATGACTGTACAGAAAGAAATCATGATGGCATCCAACTCTAATAAGGAAATTTGGAAAATAGTTAATAGAAGTAGTAAATGTCAAGCTAATACCAAAGATGAAATATTACTAAAAGTAAACGATAAAATAATAAGCAATCCCCAAGAGGTAGTAAATATTTTCTCAAGCTGTTTCGATGCGATAGACTCATCAAATGGAGACAATCCAAATATAGCAAAAAATATATTGGAGGAAAGCGTGAAAAGAGTTGAATCTGATATGCATTTAAATATAATAACAAAGCATGATGTTTTGAAGATTGTACGGCAGATGGAAAATAAAACCTCGTTCGGGTATGATGAAGTACCCATTGGAGTGATAAAAGAGCACATCAACATTTTGGCTGAACCATTGGCTTGCTTTTATAATAAATGTATTGCACAAAATTTGTTTCCTGAACAACTCAAAATAGCAAGGGTACTCCCACTTTATAAAAAAGGAAATAAACTAGACCCGAAAAACTACAGGCCTAGAAATAGGTTTTTTGATAAAATTACCAATTTTATCAAAAATCGTTGAGAAACTTATTAAAATTAGACTACTATCACATTTACGTCAAAATGGTATTTAGAATACCATGAGAGACAATTTGCATATCAGAAGCAATTGGGAACAACTGATGCTATAAATAACTTAGTTGATGATATTGTATGTAAGTTAAATGAAAAGCTGAAAGTGTGTGGTCTGTTTTTGGATTTAAGCTCAGCTTTTAATACAATAAATCATGACATATTGCTTCAGAAATTGGAACATTATGGAATTCGAGGTACAAATTTAAAACTTTTTCAATCTTATTTGTCAGGTCGCAAGCAGTTTATTGAAATTAAAAAAATAATAAATGATGTCGAGACAATATGTAAATCAGAATTAAAAATATTAAAAAGAGGTGTCCCACAGGGCTCAAATTTAGGACCTATTTTCTTTATAGTTTTTTTGAATGACCTAGTTAATTATATGGCTCTAAAACAACCGGATGTTAAATTAACCATTTATGCCGATGACACAAATGCAATAATATCTGCCAAAGATATTGACGAGCTGAGCATTAAAGTAAATAGTACACTATTTCATTTTGAAAACTGGTTTGCAGGCAATGGTCTTTTATTGAATGAAATACTATTCAGGTCTACTGCCAGAAACACAGATATTTTAAGAATAAATGTGAATGGTACAGATATAGACTCCGTAAAATCGCTAAAATTCTTAGGAATCCACATTGACGTAGATTTAAATTGGACAAATGAAATTGAATCACTCAAATCTAGTATAAGCTCAGCGTGCTATGCCATAAGAAGTTTAAGGGATGAAATCACCTTGAAGCAGCTTAAATTAGTTTATTTTGCTCTGGTTGAATCAAAACTTCGTTACAGTATTATGTTCTGGGGCAATAGTTACAAATATAATATTTTGGCAGCATTCGTCTTACAAAGGCGTGTGATCCGGACTATGATGCGTATCCCACAGACAGATTCGTGCAAACCACATTTTGAAACATTAGGTATTATGACAGTCCCTTGCTTATATATTTTAGTTGTTTTATCCCATTTAGTAAAAAACCTGCACAAATACGAATCTGATATAGACAGAAAAAAGAGGGAACTAACTCGTCGAAAAGATTTGAAAAGTGCCTTCAGACCTAAGCTTAACGTTGTCAGTCACTGCGTGAGATTCCAAGCTATCAAGCTATTTTATGTTCTCCCTATAGAATTGAAAACCGTTAACAGTCCATATAAATTCCAAGACAAACTTAAAATGTTCTTGTTGAAGAAGTGTTACTATTCCATAGAAGAATATTTAGATGACAGAAATTTAAATCTAATATGAAAAATCTTTGACATGTTTAAATTATAATCGATTTATTTCAAATTGTATGCTGACATTTTAATAATATTTAATTTTATTAATATTGCATGAAGTAGTAATTTAATTGTAAATTGTTTGATTGACTTTGAAATGTTATTATATAAGAATTTTTGTAATTTTATGCTAATTATATTTAAATGGATTGTAATTTTAATTTTATCTAATAATTTTATTGTAAATTGTTTGTGATTTCCAATACGATGAAAATTGTTTAAGGAATAAATGACTATGACTATGACTATTGTTGTTTCTAATTAGTTGGCAATTATTGTATTAATTACAATTCATACCTTAAAACTGATTTAAATGTTTCTCCGTAATGTAATATTGAAACTGCACTTGTATTGGATTTATATTGTTTATCTAATAAATGATAAATCGATGAACATGCTGTTGTCCTATTTACTGTTTAATTTCAAAATAAAAACAATTGCGGTGAAATATCTTACATAATGTCAAGGACCGTCGGTAGGGTTTCTAATTATACGACCACCACTGTATATGTATATATTTATGATAATTTTGACCTAAAATGTCAAAAATAAAATATTAAATTTTAATAAGTCAGAAAGCTCATCTGTCTCTCAGCAAATATTGGCGGAGGTGTTCGCCCGTCCATGCCATCTCCAGTAGTATAAGCTCTACGGTGGTGGCCCCTTGGATTGAGATATATGATACCCACGTATTATCCCGTAGTGTTAGGTTTCTGAGGGATTTTAAAAAAACATGCCTGAAGTCGTTAGTAACTCATAACTTAGTATAAGTACCAGATTTGCCTAGGTTTGCCTGAGTAGAATGGAGAAGAAGACGTGACAATCGGTCACGCATGGGCGTAGTTCGACGATTTACGTAATTTCTGTAATATGTGCGTTATGGATTTATCCTGAAGGTTTATCGACATGAGGACATCAGAGGAGCATGTTAGACTCATAAGAGAACTGGCGCAAGAGCTTTAGAAAGATAAGATACCCTACCGTTACACTGACCGGTCATTATACTTGCATAATATAACTCGTACTTAATCTGTGATTACACTACAAAATTATACTATCTGAATTTTTTAAAGGAAATGGATCACCAAATCGAACGAAAATTCACTTTTTGACATGGGTGGTAGGTGGTAGCAACTATGGTGACTAGTCTGAGCTAGCAATACAAAACAGAAAAAAAAACAATCGTAAAAAGTGACACACACGCCATAATGTAAATTGCTTCTAGATTTGGCGTTTGAGTTAAAAAAATACATTTTTGATAAAAATTTGTTTGAAATGCATTTATACGACATTTAAAATGTCCCTAGTAAATATTGGTAAGCAACAAATTCGTAACATTACCATGTTAGTGTGTAGAACGTACTTTATCGACAAAATTTAGGTTGTTCAGTTCAATCGAAGCCATTTCGTTATATCCAGGTAAATGGTAACAGAGGAGATATTCTTGTTTAAATACGTGATAATTTTAAGGACATTGTAGTTGTGATGTGAAAGGACTGGTAAAAAATGTCGATGGTCGAAGAGTCGCCATTGAAATTTTCGTTATCCACGGAGTCATTGTAGAGTTGTGCAGTGTTCAGGGTATATGGCATAATAACTGTCATCGTTACAGATATTCGTCGTGACTTCGATCCAGAACTCTTCCTGATGTAGTTCATAAATATGTGGTGGTTCTCATTGAAATACCATTACCAAATATCTTTCTCCTAGATTTCGTAATGAAGTTTTGATGTTGTAAACAAATCGTGTATTGTGTATGATAGCTGTTTTGATTTGCTCCTGATATATGCCTAGAGTGTAAAAATCCTATTAATTTTTTATAAATCTTAAAACTGCCTTACATTATCTTACTTGAAATAAATGGTATCTAGTTATATTTTTTGTGCAATATGTTTTCTTTACATTTCTATAGATATATTTGTATGCATCAGCAGTAAAAAGAAACTTATCTAGAACCATATTTCATTTAGGCTAATATGTTTTCTTTACATTTCTATAAATATATTTGTATGCATCAGCAGTAAAAAGAAACTTATCTAGAACCATATTTCTTTTAGGCTAAGTGTTTGCAATGGCTCAATTTTACCAGATTGTAGGACAAGGGCCATCGCTAACATTAGAAGATTTACAAAGATACTGTCCAAATATATGCTTGGATGGTATTATAGTTAACCAAGATGAACAACAGTATGCTCAACAGCAGGTAATCTAGTGTTTGCATGTATATAGCAAATATTTTTTTCAATTACTTGTCTTGTTTACTGCTTATACATTATACATATATTACTGCCACAATAAGGTGGTTTCTTAAGGTTTATTACTATATTTCTGAAGGTTGTGGTGCAACAAGCAGACCAGCCTAATGATATCATAGTTAGTGAAGGAGTACAACAACAACTGGTTGTTGGGGATGGATTACAGTATCAGCAGCAATATATCATCCGACATGAGCCACCTCCACCACCTCCACCTGGGCCGGAATTTCAGCAACAACAGACACAACAGCAAACTCAACATCAGCAGGCCTTACACAGACACCAGGTGATTATAACTTAAATTATTACTATGTTAATTGTCAAATATTATGAAAACATTTTCCAAATTATACTTAAAAATTACTTATTAATTGAAACATCCTTCATTGGCTGTAAATAGTTATCATATTTAAAAGTTTACTGGGATTTGAAGAAATGGTTGCAACATACAGTCTATAAAAGGTATTTATTTGTAGGTTTACTACACCTCTGATTTACCTGTGGATGCTCAGGTTGTATTGCAACAGGCCCAACAGATCATTGATGCATCTTTGCAAACACAAATGCAACAGGCATCTCCACAACGCCCACAACATGTATGTTAGCTGATAGTGATGTGTACTATAATTAGTCCATAAGCCATAATTAATGCACTTTTGGCAATTTTAGAAAACAGTAGAATAACTTTCTTTTCTGCTTAGCATGATTTAATGTATTTTCTTTTTTATTTTATTCTGTTTGGGCATACTTCAATGATTTGTTATCCAAAAGTATTTAATTATAGTTAATGACAAAGTAAATAATTTCAATGCAACATAATTATCATTCCCAGTTATTGAACTGTAAATGCTGGTCTTAAACAATACTATCAATACCTTTTGGAATTGAACCTCAGTTGTGAAGCTTTCCTATTTACTCAAGATGAGTTATGGCATTAAATCTTGTCAAAAGCATAATGATGATAAGTAACAAAAGAATTGCTTTGGGCCTTAACACTGTTAATAATTTCATGGCTGTTACTAACAAGAAATATGCTAGATTAGGAAAATGTACACATCATAAAGGTTTGGGTTAAACTAAGATATATCCATCAATCATTTATTATTGTATAAAGCATATAAGATTGTGTTAACAAATTTTCAATTAGTTCACACTTTTATTAAACTAGATCAAATGATATGAATATAGCAATACATATTGTAATGTGGTAGTTTTTATACAAGTCTGAATGCATATTTTGTTTTTTCCCTTTATATTTGAAAATTATTCCTTATTATGAAATAATACTGCATAGTAGTGGAATATAGCACTCCAAGGCTGGTTCCCTTATTTTATCTGATATCTCATTCTTGGATACACTTGCATTTTCAATGTTGGGTTGCTTGAAATACTAACAGTGAAGCAGTAATATCAAAATGTTTGTGTTAAACATAGTTGGTGAGTCCAGCGCATGTGCTATCTCAACCAACTGTGATACATCCTGGCCAGCAACCACCTCCACAGCCGCCGCCTCCTCCACCGCCACCGCCGCCACCGCAACATACTCCACAACAGACAGTTAGTTAATCATTAAAAAAAAATGTTTCATTATTCAATCTTTGTTGCCACACTTTACAATTACTTTACCTTTACAATTATACTACAAGTTCACTGTTAGCTAGGCATTATGTACGAGTGAATGATTACAGATGCCAGAATCAAAATTGGTAAAAAAAGAATCTGCAGTAAGTGGTAGGACAAAAGGAATTGTATAATGCAATTGTCTGGTCTACTAAAGTCTGAATCAAAAAGTATGCCTCGCCGCACCGCCTGCGTTACGCCTAGCAGCAAGTTCTTTTGCATAAAGATTTCTTGTTTTTTTTTTCTGTTATGTTTCTAAATTAATTCATACGCCAAAACCTTCCGGCGCTGTATGGTATTTTAGTAGCAGTGCGTGCAGGGTAATGTGAGTGATAAAGGGTTATCCGACCACATTTATTCGCCTAAAAATAACACCTGATAACTAACTGTGGAGATTACCTTGCTTTACAAGAAAATAGTTGTGGAGAAATTGTTTAAAAATAATGGTAGATTTCCTCAAGCCATTCTCTACAACCTACAACTCAGTAAATGCTATTTGATATATGACAAAAAGTATAAATTAAATAAAGGAATTCAATAAAAGCTGAGCTGTCCCTGTGAAAAAGACTTAGGTCTAAATATAAAGAAAATTTTACTAGAAAAAGATTGATGCGGTCCTGGCTGCAGACTGGGCTCCAATCCGCACCATCCGCTATCCGGGCAGTATGCACTGACCAAATATGCTACTGCGACCTTAATGACCGTGTCGAATTTTTTCATTATAATGTTATCTATACCATGAATTCTTTTCTAGTAATATTTTCTTTACATTTCAATAGCAGATAAATGCTTAACAACTTAAATATAATGACTTATGTGTTGATTTTACTTAAAGAATTCAAATCATGGTTAATATGACAATGGACCTTTGTTTAGCAGCAACAACAACAGATGTCGCGGGCATCACCGCAGCTCATTCAACATCTACAACAGCAACACCAGCAACAGCTACACTTGCAACAGCAGTTGCAGCAACAACAACTGCAACACCAACTGCAGCAGCAGCAACATCAACACATGCAGTCCCAACAGATACCGCACCAACAAGTTGTAATGCATGCGGCTTACATTAATCAAACTGTAAGTTTATATACCATTTTGATTGTTACAAAAATATTTACCAACGATTTCAAGCCAGGGCTCCAGCAAAAGTTTTTTGAAAACATTTAGCAAAAGTACATACATATGTTTGTTTCTCTACACACACCATCTAATGCTCACGTGGCTTCATAAAATACACAGGGCTACGTTCACCATCTACCATCCAGATGCAACAAAAATCAATAAGAATTTGTCCATATCTTTGCTCTTGTTGTAAAGCTTGATTACAAGTCATCAGTGATGTTAACAGTGCCATATTATGCTGCTTTACCAATATTTCGATTTACACAGAGAGGTCTGAGGGCCGTTCATTATCCGCGCAGAGGGTATTTGTGTACGTATTTTCCATCGGGATTGGGAAGCAAAAACATTGTTGAACAAACAAATATGTGTAGTGAAACAAAGTCTTGTGTAGATGATTTTGTTATTGTTATTATGTAGTTGCAGGTTATTATCACTGTTTTGTTATAGGGGACGCCTACAAGGCAGGCACCGCCAAGATTACTGAATCAGGCCCTCGCTAACCCTGGCAGTGTGACTCTTGTAAGAACCCCAGTACGGACTGTGAGACCGCGCCGACCTGCGGCCCGATCGCCTATGGCGGCCTCGCCTATGCAAGCTCCTACTAGGCTACTGAATCCCCAGATTCCACAGGTAAGTGTGTAGAGATCTGAAATTAGTTATAGGCTAGGCTAGAATAAAAATAAATATTTATGATGAATACAGTTAGTAGTTTAATAAATTTTTGTAGTTAGTACATTAGTTAGTGTGATTCATTTCAAATCTCAAAGTCACTCAATGAGAGGGTTGGCTGTAGATGGGGATAGGCCTTTTATTAGAGAAAAAATTGGTGCGATTTTATAAAACCGTGGTTTCATTCAAGTGCAACCTATAAACATTAATAACAAAAAATGTACCTCGGTTGGTAATAAAATCCGGGACGCCGAAGCAGGCGAGCTTTCTAACACTGAACCACCGATGCTTGTTGGTAAGTTCTGAATTTTTTAACAATTAAAAATGTAATGCTACATGGTAAAGATGAAGGAAAAAAATTGGGGCGATGTAATAATAGTTTCACTTCAAAAATCTTATGTAAAAAATTCTCGTGTCGCGGTGTTTGTGGTTAAACTCGTCCGAAACGGCTCGACCGATTTTCGTGAAATTTTATATGCATATTCAGTAGGTCTGAGAATCGTATGTAATCTATTTTTCATCCCCCTAAATGTCAAGGGTAGTCCACCCCTAAATTTTTTTTTTTTCAATTTTAGATATATTTTTTTTTACTTTTTTATGATACATCATACCAAAATACATACATCCCTAAATTTTCAACTTTCTACCACCAACCCCTATTTTTTTATGGCGGTACGAAGTTCGCTGGGTCAGCTAGTATAATATAAAAATGGTAGTCGAATCAAAACGGCTATTCTTATTCCGGCTAATTGTTCCAGTCTCAAGTGGGCAGTCCTGTAGTGGGCGTGGGTGTGAACTCGGGCGCGATCCGCGGCAGCGTAGCGGGCGCAGGGCGTGGCGCGGGCGCCGGTGTGACGGCGGGCGGGGCACGGAGCGGCGCCGCTCGCACACCGCGGCCCGCCTCGCCGCGCGTGCTCAACTCGCACGCGGCGCACGCGCAACACCGCCCGCCCCGCCCGCGCACGCCGCTCCTACAGGTAACTCCATCAGTGTCAGTCTCTAATGGGCGATCCCTAAGCGGGCGTGGGCGCCGGTGTGACGGCGTCGCCCGCACGCTACGACCCGCCTCGACGCGTGTGCTCAACTCGCATGCGCAACACCGCACACGCCACTACTGCAGGTAACCCCATCTCAGTGTCAGTCTCTAAGGGGCGACTCCGAAGCGGGCGCGGACGCCGCTGTGACGGCGCGTGCTCAATGCGTACGCAGTGCACACGCAACACCGCCCTCCCCGCCCACCCCGCCCGCCCCGCCCGCCCCGCCCGCACATGCCTCTCCTACAGGTTATTCCGTCCCAGTGTCAGTCTCGCATTGCCGTGCGGCGTGTGAGAAAATCTGCGATATATGAACCAGATTGTTCGACTTCATGCGGCGAATAAAATACTGATTTGCCACAGATTTGTTGCACGGTTTTTTGCATCCTATAAACTTGTGTCAAACCCCGCGTTAATAGTGCCTTGAGCTGTAGATGGATGAACCCAATATTACTTGTTTCTGTTTCCTTGCCGTTAACGCAAATTGGTTGGTTGGCTTGGTTTCGTAGTCCATGATGTTCTCCCTCCTACTACAAAAGCTGATAACGGCACTCATGCAAGTAACCCATCGACGATATATGATAAGCATGTTCGGGAAAGCGCAATACTCAAGCATGTGAACGACGTAAATGCCGCCGAATAACTCCACCTCACCTGATTTTAAGTGATGGAATCCAGACGCTTGGATTGCTGCTGCAGTTTTGCCTGCCACACCAGCCATCCTCAACTGACCTTTTTTTGCTTTACATAGAACAGATGTTAATTTGATACTAAATGTTGATTTAAATTAAAATGTACTTTAAATTACTAAAGTTAAGTGGTTGTTTTTTTCAAATGTTTTTCTTTTTTATACAGCAACCACAGCACCAGTTGCAGCCACAAGTTTTGAGTCAGCAAGTCCACCAGCAGCAGTTAAATCAACTGAAACTTGCTTCTCATCAGGTAAATTAACCACAGAGTATTCCACTTTACGCACACCACAACATGTTAAAATAAAAGACTGATCAATTTCTTTAATATTAAAAATATTTCTTTCCGTCTCTTTACAGCAACAAATACTCATCAGCCAACAGAACCAAAATCACCCCACCCGTATCATTACACAACAAGGCACAATAGTAAACACACAAAACTTAACACAGCAATTGGCACAGCACGCAGTGGCTCAGACGAGTCAGAATAACGGCCCAATGCCACAACAGAATACGCTTGCGGTCCAACAGAGAGCTTCTCCGCACCCGCAACAAGTACAGCAGCAAGTAAAAAAGGTCGTAGTTCAACCAAACAACGCCAACGACATGGACGACTTAGAAGAGAGTATCACTGCGGCGATATTAACAAAGCACACAGTTAACGAGAACATGAACTCGCCCCAACAGTTCCATACACCACCGCCACCTCTTAGACAATCCCACCCCGGAACACCCGTTCCTCAGCAACACCAACAATTAACCTTCAGCTCCCAACAAAATTATCAACAGCAACAAGTTGCGTATGACCAAAGCCATATACAGCAACATCCGCAGACCCTAAGCCAGTTGTTAATGGAACCCGATTCCCTGGAGGAAGAAAGGCAAGTGGTCACTCTGACGAATGGACAGAGAATAACATTGGCTGAATACAAACGAATGCAGCAACCTGCGCGTACAGCAGTGCAGCAGCAAGTCAGGTAACTTGACATTTACTTCGACATATCATTTGATTAATACATGTTTTGGCGTAATATGTCCATTTTACGTCAAAATATGTGTTGGTATGTGTAGCATCTTCTCATTCATTCAATGCATTGACAATTGCGAGTCGGACTCGCGTTCGAAGGGTTCCGTACCAAAAACAGAAAAAATAACGTCTTTTGTATGGGAGCCCCCCTTTAATATTTATTTTTAAAGTGAATATACAACTAAATATTCTGTGAATATTTCTAGTGTCTGTCTGTTGCCATTATACACGTTTGTTGTATGGCCCCCTTAAATATTAATTTTATTCTAGCTTTACTATTTGTTGTTATAGTATCATATAGCAACAGAAATACATCATCTCTAAAATGTTAACTGTCTAACTATCAAGGTTCATGATATACAGCCTGGTGAAAGACAGACAGCGGAGTCTTAGTAATAGGGTCTCATTTTTACCCTTTGGGTACGGAACCTTAAAAACAAGTATACTCTCAATCCTCTAACAAAATTGCATAATAAAACGTCCGAGCAGCATTGTACATCAGCATTTATAGATAACATAAACACATTTGTTCAAATTAACACGTTATGTTAAGGTTCAATGTCAATTGTATATAAGCGAGAATTTTTAAACACGTCTGTTTGAAAATTACGCACAATAGACTTATGAGCGTCATTTAGCTTCCGACACTTTTTGAGCGCGATTGTGAGTCTACTTCTTTTTCTATACGTCAATGATTCATTGTTTAAATTTCCATTAACACAAACTTATATCATCTTCTTTTGTAGGGAAACGGGGAGGCAAACCTTAGTTAGAAGTAAAGAGCAGCCAAGACCTGTCCAAAGAGTTACACCTATGCAAACACAACCAGCGCTACAACATGGTATGTGCTTTAACTCGCATTATTGATGTTTCAAAAAATTTATTTATAAATTATATATAAATAAACTATTTTTTTAACATTTTTCATAATCGTTATTTCAGACAACAATGAAGTTCCTAGTGGGCCTTCGGAACAACAGTCGGAGCCACAATCAGCTAAAATGTTAATTTTCCTTCAAAACGGTGAGCAGAGGCTAATAACTTTCACACTCCCTAAAGAAAGTTGTACTCTTCAAGAAGTTCTAGAACAGGTAAAATATATTTTGAAAATTAGAAGTTAAATTATTGTTCGTGGTTGCTACATAAATATTTTATTAATAATTTTCTATTTTCCAGGTCAATGTTCCATTCTCTGAAGACACACATATACAATGTATGCAAAATACAAGTAGTGAAATAGATTATTTTGTCTCTGTTGGCTCAACCACCAGAATTGAAGAAATGTTAGAAAACCATCCAGTGAGTATATATCTCTACCTAATCTTACCCTTATTTAGAAAAGTACTAAAAATAATGAATAGTGTTGTTTATGTAGATCTATTTTATGTTTAAATGGGGTCTAGGTACTGAACTTACAAGCCATACCTAGATTTAATACTTCTCAGTTTCATTCAAAGTTGATGTTGTTTTATATTCTTTTCCATATTTTATAGATGCTGGTTGGCGATTTAAGTAGTAGAAGTTCCCCAAGTGTTATGCCACAACAACAGAGTAGTGAAATGTCGACACCGGAGAAATCCTCCTGTCCTGATAATGGTATGTTAATTGTAAATATAAAAAATGTATTCACACAGAAAAATAACTTATCTGTCTACGTTAATTCTAGAACAACTTACATCATGAAAATGCATGCGGCACGCCGTTGTTCAGCTAGATAATTCACGGCCGTACCTGAGTAATTTAACTTCTCTGAAGAAGTTAAATAAAATTGATGTCATTTTGAAGTTTAAGATTTAAAGTACAGTCGTAAGACAGTATTCAAATGGTATTCATTCAAGTCACGCCGCGCATGATCTCGGAAAAGCAGGACGTTTAATTTTGGGTTAAAAAGCGGGACGTCTAAAACTCTCAATATGTGGTTTTCAGTGTCTCCTTCTACCCTGATCATGGGTTAGGTACTGGTTCTTGTTAATACTCAGTTTATAATGGCATTTATATTATTATATAGAGTATTAAGAGAGAGAACCAGATTTTCTTTCAGCGCTCATTGTACAGTTGGAAAGACTTTCTAAATAGGTTTTTTTGGCGTCCTTTTCTATTTAGCGCCTAAAGCAATGAGTCAACTCGTTCTAACGCAGGACAGGAGCTAGTAGTAGCCCAAATTTTTGTTTTTTGAAATGTATCTTCTATTCAGAAAGCATAACGTGTGCCAATAAAGACACGAATATTAAATAGCGACGTAGAACATTCTATCCCTCTCGTACATTATTCCTGAAATGGTTCAAGCGGGCAAAAAGCGGATGGCTGGGGCGGCACTCTATCTCTGCCAAATCAATTACTTAAGAGCAGACGCGGGCTGAGAGACATTTGAGAAATAGGTATTTGAAAAACAGTATAACAGTGTGGGACAACAGTAGCTAACGCTGAAAATTGCGTATAAAAATTGCAAATTCGAGGTTCGGCTCTCGACGATTTTCTTCTCGAAAATGATATGTTTAAGTAAAAGAAATTTTACCCATAGTATAATAAGTATTATACTAGGCCACTGAACACATGAGAACATGGAGGGAACTGGAAGAGTCCTATGTCCAGTACTGAACAACTAATAGCTGAAAATGATGAGATGATTATGTTACTAGGCCCCTGTTTTGCTTTTTTAGGCATTTTTGAGGGCGTCTAGTTGCTTTGAAACACATGTTAGCTTAAACAGGCAAAATCGTAGGAACATAGAATGAGTAAAATTATATTTTATGTATTAAAAGCATTTGTTTAGTGATAAAAGGCGTCCCCTCATGAGTGGACATGACCCTGCAGCTGACTAGGATATCCATGAGTATTTCACACCGCCCCCCCTGCCTAAGGAAGATACAAAAAAAATATTCAACGATGCAATTATTGTATGTTGCGCTTGTTATATTCCGTGGGTCACAAAAATTCGCTCATGGTCAACATCTTTTTTTTTGTCTGGGAAATGCTTTACGCATCCTTCAACCACCGGGGGAGCGAGAAGAAGGTATGTGGGACTCCCCCCTGCTCACTTCAACATATCTAGAGGTCTAAAGCTTTAAAATAAAATAGGATTCATCTCTGTCTACTGTGGGTTATTTTTCCATAGTAAAGGTCCCAATGATCCTTTATGATTGTTGTATTTTTGTTCCAGTAAGCAACAGTCCCGAATCTCCGGGCCAGCGCTCGCCGCCGCCGCGCTACGTGGACGGCATGCTGGCTCTGTGCAAGTCCTGCGGTTACACAGGATTCGACTTTAGCCGGTGTCAGAGGTAATATTTTGCATTTTAATCTTGCAAATATTTATTTATTTATTTACTCTTTATTGTCATTTTACAACAAATGGCGGACTTAATGCCACATAGCATTCTCTACCAGTTAACCAATGGGCTAAGCAGAGACATTATGCGGTAAAGTAAATAAAAGCAAAAGAATATTAAATTGATAAAACTACATGATACTAATTATAATAATTATAATGTAATATCTTTAAATATACCTACATAACTACATATATAAACATACATATTTATATATACGATAAATACCTACACATACAATAATAAATAACACTATACTCACTTAGGAATACTATAATAAATCAAAATACTTTTACAAACGATATTAATAGTAGGCAGAATTACCAGTGTTTGTTCATAATATAGAAATCGAAATTGTTATGACTTCTTAGTATGCTGACGTACGAGGACCTTGAAAGCAGGTTTACTGGGTGTTAAATATTCCATACAATAAGCTTTTAAGGTTATAATCTAAGGCTGGCTACCGTTGCCGATCTACCAGCGCTTATCGGTATCGCAGAAGCTGTCTGGCAGTCTCTCTGACACGTGCGAAATGACGAGCTCATAGCCGAACTTGCTGGCGACGTTCGGCGCTTATTGGCGCTGGTTTAACACAAATAATAAGCGCTGGTATATTAGCGCCGGTAGCCGGCTTTCTACGTGAATTCGGCCTAAGAAACTATTGGGTAATGAAAGTACGTTCAAGCGATCATCAAAAATAGTAAACGGTGATCATTTACTATTTTTGAAAAAAATTGACAATGTAACCTAACCTTTTGTATTCTTCCGTGATCAATAAATTCTGTTAATAAAAACGATTTGATTACAGGTTAACAACTAAAGTAATTTCCTTGCCCCTCATATGACAGCAAGAAAAATATTAATTTTAAGGAACCGGTTTAGCTTTTTTAGAAAAGTAGAAATATCACGTTGAATCTGTTGTTCTGGTTCCACTATGTTTTGCGAAACAAAATTTATATAAATCTCAAAAAAATAAACAGTAAAATACAAAATTATAGCTTCCTCCAACTCGTAATATATTTTTCTGGTGATTGGGACAGGCCGTGCTAAAGTAGTTGTTGGTGTTGCTTATTGCCCCCGCCACAGTTGATTATTTCACCGAACTCGAAGCGGTTTTAGAAACTTTGGGATCTGAGTATGCACATCTGATAATCATGGGCGATTTTAATTCCAATCTTCTACCTCCCGAATCTCCACGGTCCCGAAAACTCCTTCACATTGTCCAGTCCTCAAGCCTACATATTTTGCCCGTTCAACCAACTCACCTAAATACTTGTGGTGATAATACATGGCTTGATTTAATCCTTATCTCTAATCCCTCCCTTGTTCCATCCCATGGTCCATCCATCTTCTCTCATCATGACCTTCATCTTCCTTTCTTATCTCTTTAAACCCCCCAAATCCACTGCCAAGACTCTGCACAGGCGCTCCTTCGCACGTATGGATTTACTCAAACTGCAAAAGGATGTCTCTGAGATCAAATGGGACTCTTTGATTCTAGCTTTCACTGTTGATGACAAAGTTAAAATATTTAATGACACTCTGCTTAGCATTTACGATGTTCTTGCGCCCATCAGAAGATTGAGGCTGAAGCGGCAACCAGCCCCTTGGATGACTGAAGGTGTTCAGATGGCGATGAGGAGTAGGGAGCGTACATATCGCAACTACGGAAGGGATCATTCTGATGAAAAGAGGAAGCTTTACGATGCTGCTAGAAATCGGTTTAATCAGATTATACGTAATGCCAAACGCCGATATATTCTCAACAACCTTTTTCTTCATCTTCTGCTGATATCTGGAAGTTCCTCGAAACGCCAGGTATCGGCAAATCGCGACATTTAGACTTATTTATTCTATAAACCTTAACGATCTCAATCGCCATTTCACAACTTTTCAGAAATTAGATCAATTATCTACAGCATCCACCGTTGCTTCTATAAATGATTTAACGAGCCCTAATGTTGACCCTTTCTATTTTTCACCAGTCACTGCGACAAAGATCAAAAAGATAATACTTTCAATTCAAAAATCCAATGCAGCGGTATGTGATGATATGAGCCGCCGTATGATTGTCATTATTCTTGACTATCTTCTTCACGCTATAACACACATTATCAATTACTCCCTTGACACTGGTACTTTCCCTTTTCTATGGCGTAAAGCCTATCTCCGGCCCCTTCCCTAAGTTAATAATCCAACGCAACCCTAATCAATTTCGACTGATTTCCATTCTCCCCTTCATGTCAAAAGTGCTAAAGAAGCCTGCGTTCACAAGCAATTCTCCCAATTTATTCACAAAAACTCCCTAATGAACCTTCATCAATCTGGATTTAGGCCTGGACATAGCACTGTTCCCGCACTCCTTAAAGTAACTGGCGATGTTGTTGATGAGTGGGCGGGGATGGAGAACGGTAAAGTTACTTGCTTGGTTCGTATCGATTTTTCAAATGCTTTTAATACTGTCAGTCACGATATTCTCCTTTCCATTTTATCCCATCTTATGGTCTCTGGCGAAGTGTTGACTTGGTTTTCATCTTATCTTTGGGACCGCTAGCAGTTGGTGCAGTCTGGGGAATCATCCTTATCCTGGCTCAATTGGAAAACTGGTGTTCCCAAGGCGGCATTCTTCTTTTTTCTACTTTTATTGATTTTATCACTCACAAACTTCAGTGATCGTATCATCTATATGCTAGCGACCTACAACTATACACCGAAGCAAGTATTGACGATTTGAACGATGCCATTGATGCGATAAACAGTGACTTAAACGCTTTCAAGGCATGGTCAGACAATTTTGGTGTCACTGTCAATGCTGCTAAATGTCAAGCTATATTAATAGGTGGATCAAGAATGATGAGCAGAATTGACAAAAGCAATCTTGGGTCTATCTTCTATGATGGCGCTTTGATACCTTTTGTAATGTTGCAAAAAAATCTCGGTTTGTATGTTGACTCATATTTCAAATGGCGGGATCAGGTAGGAAGTGTCTGTCAAAAGGTAACTGGAACATTGCATGCTCTCTACCGCTTGAAAAAATTTTTGCCTATCAACATCAAGGCAATTCTTGTGCAAACTTTGATTTTTTCCACAATCAACTATGGTGATGTGTGCTACCTCGATCTGAATACAGATCTACTCAATAAACTTAATCGACTTCAGAATAACTCCATTCAATTTGTTTTCAAACTTAGAAAATATGACCATGTGTCCGCATACCGATCTCTTCTAAAATGGATGCCTATTAGGCAGCGCAGAAGTATGAGGCCTCTGACCACTCTGTTCTCTTTGCTGGAATCTCCAAATGGCCCTTTTTAGTACTTATGTACCTCTCATTCTAAAAATCTTCGATCTTCTTCTAATCCCTTACTTATTGTTCCATATCATCGCTCTGATATGATTCACTCGTCCTTCTTTGTCAAAACTATACTTCTGTGAAACGAACCACACCTAGATATAAGAATGTCCACCAACAAAATTAGCTTCAAAACCATGCTATGAAGCTTTTTACAGGAAAAAGCAGTCTCGCTTAAACGTTAGTCGTCAATATTATATATTTATTTAGTATGTATGTTTATATAAGTATGTATGTATATGTGTGAATTTATATGTACAGTTATTTATATGTAAGTAAGTTATTTATGTATGTGTAATTATATATGTGACTACTTCGTATTTATATCTGTTTGTCTTTTATTTTTCATCTAAGTTGTGCACCCTACCACTATTAATCCACAACACCCTATGGTTAACTGGTAGAGAATGCCTATGGCATTAAGCCCGCCTTAGTACACTTGTGCATTAAGTATAAATAAATAAAGAGGTGCAAAATGTTTATCTTATATTTAAGAAGACTGTCTTGTCACTATATTTTATCATGTATATTTTTTGTTTTTTTACTAGATGTAAGCGAGTTTTCACTGAAGAACCTAAAAGTGTTCCAATAGCAAGTAAGAAAGCAGAACAAAAGAAAAAGGAACCTGAAAAAACGACTGTAGAAAAACCAAAGTAAGTTATTGAAACGGTCTCAAAATTATTTTGTTTACAAATAAATTGTTGTTTGCATTCATTTCTCCTATATTCTCTAAATTAGTCTTCTTTTCTTTTTCAGCATTTGTGGTGAAGGTATTAAATTAAATTTGTTAAAAACTACAATGAAGACTGTAAATAATAAAACTGTAAGTATTTTATAACTTTGTAATATTCAACTTCTATTATAAATATTCACATTATTATTAAGACTTAAACTTAATTCTCTCTAGACTCTAGAGCAGCTATACTCTAAGTGTGTTCCGCGGAACCCTAGGGTTCCGTGATACCTCTGTCGGGGTTCCGCAAGAATTTAGAAATAAAAAAATCAAAACACCTCTCTCTGGTCGCTCCGCGGCTGTGCGGACTCCGCGGCCGCGCGGAGACAAAACGCTATGAATGTTATTTATTTATTTATTTGTATTTGTATAAGCTTGTGTTACATTAGCTGGTACAATATCTCATAAGTTTGGTCTCAACAATTTTATACTTGTACAACGCGTTCGCTCTAAGTTTGCCGGTCTGTGGAATGCGCGTACCCTCCCCCACGTGACAACAAAACTTATAATGTGTCATAGTTTTACCCAAATATCTAACGTACACAATTTTTATTGTTACAATTAAATAAAAAATTTCGAACGTCATACACTCATACCTATCGCCAGCGGCAAACTTAAAACGAGCGGGTAGTATACTTGTAAGCGCTCAATCTCTTTGATAAAAGCCGCCTCTGAATTAGACGCTATAGTTGTCAACTAGCGACTTTCGTCTCTAACTTCAAAGGATAAAGTCGATATTGTTTACAACGCTATTTTTAAATTTCTGTTTTTATTTTTGCTTTTTGTTTATCAAAGGTGCCGACTCGAGTATTTTCGAGAATATTTGAGATCGAGTCTAGGACTAAGTATAAAAGCGGCGATCGCGCGTTGGCGTCGTCAGTTGATGATTAGCGTTCGGAGCGATAAGTTACTACCTACTTACAAGCTCGCTAGCGAGAAACTGGTGTTCATTGTTTTACTGCCTGCTGTATTCTGTTGTCTCAGTTTTATACATTTCTTCCCTGTAGGTTCTAAATTTAGTCTCTTATACGCAGTAACGATTGTGCATTATTTAAACCCCACTATCCTGACTTGTAACATTATAAATAAAGAAGAATGGAACGTTGGCTTAAAGGTGTTAAACGTGTTCCAACAACATCTTCTAATGACGCTGAATGTTCAAAAGCAATGCGCGCGGAGAATTTAGCAATCACCGATCCAGAAGATGATGCCACGAGTGCCACGACGTCAAGCTCGACGGTTTCAAAGACGAAAAAAAGGAAGTATGATGAATCTTATATCAGTTTCGGATTTGTTGATTCCAACGGCTCACCTCTCTGCATGCTCTGTAGTAAACTGCTTCCTAATAGTTCCATGGCACCTGCCAAATTGCGTCGACATTTAGAAACCGTACACCCCGAGACTAAAGACAAGAATAAAGAATTTTTTGTTCGCAAAAAAGATCAGTTATTAGAAAGTCAAAAAAATATGATGCATGTAACACAAACTACCAACGAAAAGGCCACGGAGGCATCATACTTAGTTAGCTATCGCATTGCACAAGCAGGTGAAGCGCACACTATCGCTGAGAAATTAATAAAACCATGTGTATTAGACATAACAAAATGTATGCTTGATGAAAAATCTGCAAAGCATCTTTCTACTGTTCCGCTATCAAACGATACTGTTTCACGACGAATCCATGATCTGGCAAGCTACGTCAAACAAGAACTAGTTACACGTCTACAAAATACACGATTCGCTTTGCAAATGGACGAGTCGACTGATGTCGCTGGTTTGGCTATCCTGCTGGTTATTGTGAGATATCCATATAAAAGTTCTTTTGAAGAAGACATGCTTATGTGTTCATCGCTGCTTACAAACACTACCGGGGAAGAAATTTTTAATAAAATAAATATATTTTTTGAAGAACATAATCTCAGTTGGAACAATTGCATTGACATTTGTACAGATGGGGCCAAGGCGATGACAGGTAAAACAGCAGGAGCAGTGTCACGAATGAAAAATAAAGCGCCTAATTGTAGTTCCAGTCATTGTATTCTGCATAGACAAGCACTTGCGATGAAGCAAATGCCGTCTAATCTAAAATTAGTTATGGATGAAGCGGTAAAAATAATTAATTTTATCAAATCACGACCACTACAATCCCGATTGTTCTCATTATTGTGTGAAGATTATGGCAGCAAACATAAAACACTGCTGCTCCATACAGAAGTGCGATGGCTGTCTCGGGGAAAAACTTTAACAAGGCTATTTGAACTTAGAGCCGAGTTACAAATGTTTCTTTCAGCAGATACTTCTTTTAATTTGAAGGACCGTTTGTATGATAAAACTTGGTTGTTCCGATTGTCTTTTATGGCGGATATCTTTCAAAAACTTAACGAATTAAATTTATCATTGCAAGGTAAACAGACAACAGTGTTTCAGGCCTATAATAAAATAACTACTTTTAAAAGAAAATTAGATTTTTGGATCATTTGCATTGGTAAGAAAGAAATAGAAAGTTTTACGTTACTCACTGAGTTTGTTAGCGAAAACGACTCAGAAATGTTTGAAGATAATGTGTTTGAAGAATTGGTCCAATATCTCAGTTCGATGCGCGCATCTTTTGAAAAGTATTTTCCCGAAGAACACAATACAAAAATTAAAGTGAACTCCTGGATTCATAATCCTTTTTTACCCAACTTGGAAAAGCCTGAAAACATGTCAAATGAGATATATGAATCTCTTTTAGAAATGTCATCAGACACAAGTATGGAGTCATTGTTCAAAACGACGCCTCTTAATGATTTTTGGTGCAGAATCCAAGATGAATATGCAATGCTTGGCCAAATGGCTCTGGATATTCTTCTCCCGTTCCCAACTACATATTTGTGCGAAACAGGATTCTCTACCTACGCAGCCACGAAAACAAAATATCGCAATAGACTGGACGCCGAAGCTGATATGAGACTCCAACTTTCTTCCATCAAACCTGATATCAAGCAATTGATGAAAAATAAAAAACAGTTTCATACCTCCCACTAGTTAGATTTTTTCTTTTTTAATGTTTTCTATTATTGTCCTTACCAAGTGGTGAAGTAAATAATAATTAGTAACGGATACATTGTACTTTTATTATGCTGATTAATATAGAATACACTTATAAAAATAATTGTTTTATTGTAGGGTTCCATCAAGTATTTTGCTTCCCAAAAGGGTTCCGTCATTTAAAAAGTTTGAGAACCACTGCTCTAGAGCATATCAAATTGGATTGCATATTAATTCACCTTTGTATTGATAATATAATTTATTTAAAAAATATATTTTAATCGAATAGCCTGTCCAGGAGAAAAAGCAACCAAGGGTAAGAAAACCACGTGGGAAGCAGCCTGATCCTGAACCGGTCATACTAACGTTAAGTTCCGACGAAGAGGATTCTAATAGCTCTATGTTAAGTAATCAGGTTTGTTCGATTTTCTTCAAAATGAATACCACCTAAAAATAAAGAAATTTTTTATTAGATACAATTCCACGAGGTCCAGTCAGCAGACGGGACTCAAACCCGCACACGCCGCTTTCCTTGCGGATGCACTGACCATTATGCTACCGCAGTCCTAATGGCCGTGTCGAATTTTCTCTAGTATTTCTTAGGCTGCAAGGCAGCGGCTTCTCTTCGCATTGTTGGTAACCCACAATGTCAAAATAATACCTTTACAAATATTAACATCAACGTTATTAAATACCCTAGCCACCACGTGCGCTCAAAATGTGTCCCAATCAAGAAGTGCTTGAACTCCCACTCAAGCACTTCTTTGCTCACAGTCTTGCGCGGACCGTTGAAAAGTCAAGATGCCGCAGAGCTCCGTGAAAGAATGCGAATAAATACTTATAGTACGTAAAGTATCGTTTTCTCGACAGGTATCTAATCAACGTTAGTTAATTTAACGCATTTGAAGCAAAGGAGATTGCTCAGCTTCCATACATGTTTGGCCTAAAGACCAATTATCATGAAAAATTGTTTCCTAGATTCGATTAGACCCCTGAGAACTTCTATAAACCATATACACTGAACGATTTTGAGGTTATGTTTGCAAATAGGTACATAGGTATTAAAATAATAAAAAACAAATAAGTTATATAGTAAACTAGGGAAATAAAGCCAAGTACCGAAATTATGTTTTAGATTCAGGTATATAGAGAATGTAGGTTAACAGATAGTTGCCCTTTTTTAAAGTTAATGCACAAGAGTAACTTTTAAAATCAGGTATCATCTATGCATTTCCGGTTATAATAAGGTACTCAGTGACGGAAACTATGTGATGATTGTGAATGAGCCACAGATTAGAGAGAATTTTTGAACTCTCGTTAACCAAAGAAAGCTAATTTAGATTTAGGTTATGCAGCCATATCTTTAGTAGCTTAATTTTTTTGTTATGTTTATATTATAACCATATTTTAGTTTTTTAGTGTATCGCACCTTATAATGTTTTTATGGAGGTGTTTCGCGAAAAATGTATAGCAATAGACTTTATGTAGTCGCCTACCATCTATAATAATTGTCTTAGCACATTTGCATGTAGTGAAAATGATAATATAGTTGTGGATATTAATACCTCAGAGTAATAAAAAAATGTTTTATTTTATCGATCTTTACAAAATAGATTTGATTTTATGTTATATAAACAACTTCGATCAGTCTTTGGCTGAATGTTACTACACCCATAGCCATTAAAAATGATTAGTATGTTTTCCAAACCGGTAAAATTAAAAGTCCTTTTTAAAATGAATATTTATACAAAGGTGTCCGTTGAAATCTAATGACTGTAAAATAAAGTATAAATTATGCCAAGAATTACCGTATATGTCAATATTTTTTGTGCATTTGGGCCAATTTGAGCAATCTCCTTTAATAACTGTAAACTAATTTAATCACACTAATATTATAAAGGTGAAAATTTGTGTGTCTGTATGTTTGCTTTAAAAGACAATTATTTGTGATTGTAGTGATTTTATCACAACTATTTATAAATTATAATACAAAAGTATGTAACTTATTGTTACATACGTTACATAGGGTATATAATAAATAACTACTATTTGACAATCGTGCTGAAACTGTACAATCAATAACGAATTAAAAAAAACAAAGAAATTGAAAATTTGTCTAATTGCAAGGGATTTTTATCTAATGGCTCATTTCGCAACAAAGACCATATTTACATTAGTAACAAAATAGAAAAGTACTTCCTATAATATTTAGTAATGCCTTACTTCCGTTGCAGCATGAACACTCAATAAGCATGAAAGAGCCGTCTCTAAGCGAAATCGAAGGGGGCACACCAGATAGTGGCATTGGAATGGATCATGATGGTAAGTGCTTTATTCCTAAATATATGTTGCACCACTTGCTTTTTCTGTGAAATTACCTGTAATAAAAGAACTAACCAGTTAAATGAATATTCATTGTCAATGTCTGTATAAACCCATACACGAAAAGTGTGTGTGTGTGTGTGTGTTAGAATAAAAAAATAATAACGAAGGTCTTATTAACAGATTACAGAATTCGCGGCATCCTATTAATTAGATATTAAACGAGACCGCGCCTGGATGCGGTATACGCTAGATAAGGAATACTGTATAGGCTTACGACCACTTTCAATAATCAACCTCCAGTAAAAGGTATGGATAATTTGGTTCTGTTTAATAGCAACAGTTTCTAATCTAAACAATAATATTAACTAGGCAACAAATCTGAATACAATTGTTAAAAAATATATCCTTACCTTTTAGTGGAGGTTGATTTATTGAGCAGTGTTAAGCAGAAAGCAGACCGGGCATTTTTGGGATCAAAAATAAACATGGGTTCATAGAACAAATTTTCGCTTTCTCCCAAAATGCCTGCTGGTCGCTTTCTGCTTAACAATCTTATATTGAAACGTGCCGTTAATGAATTTGATCCGCTGAATAGTGATTCTACCTCATCCCCCTTTAGAGGTGCTAAGAATAGAAAGAACTGAATAAATTGTAAACAATATCTTACATAAAGGACATGGTAAAGTTTTGTTTGAGCGACTGCCCTGGCAATGTATAAATACAGTACTTAGTAATATTTAATGGTAAATGGCTGAATATTTATAATTTCTATGAAAAAAGGCTCGGGAACTTTTGATAAAGTCACAATCTTGAAAATTATGAGAACTCCTACTAAGTCATTACCTTACTTCAGTTGATAAAAGATGTTGCCAATTATTTACAGAGTCATCAATTACGCATTTTCTTAGAATCTTTCTTCTCATTTCTTTGATTAACTCTTCACAAAAAGTGTTTTTAAAGTAAAAATAAATATTAATAGTTTGTCAGCCTGACAGGAAATCTGTGAAGTTTTATTTTGTTCATTTGCAAAAATTAAAGGATTAATTATCATACAGCCTTGTTTCAAGCCTGGTCAGAATAATAAAAAATCTATTATTTTAAGCCTTCTGTGATTTGTTTTGATAAAAATTAGGGCCAATAGTTTAGAAATAATATTGTTTATTTCGATATACTTACACAAATATTTTTTGTGTACATTTATGGTTCATTTATTTTGTAAAAGGGAACATTTTGCTTTTTCAACAGACATTAAGTAAATTTTATACTTTTTAATATTTGATTATTTCACGAAAGTTGTATGAGAATAATAAACACGTAATAATTAATAAAAAAATATTGTAAAGTTACTGGCTAGTGCGAAATATTTATACACGTTAAGGGCAGTTTCTTAGCCATGTCCTTTATAAAAATACTAACACTGTGATTCTCCTTTGCTGGACTAGAAGCGAAGATAAACATAGAATTCACCAAATGCTAGCTTTCGGTGCAAATTACAAAGCCTATCAATGGACAGAGCATATTGGGGGACTTGGGTTATCTGACACTCGTCACTTTTGCGTCTAGGTATATAATCAATCATCATTTTTTTTAAAGATACAATCAATGCTAATGCAAATATGACGATGTTCGTAGGAGCGCCCGCCTGGGGTAGTTATTACCTCCACCTTATTTGGACCGCAGTAAAATAACACTACCTTTTAGTAGTATTGTGCTTCTGTCGGTGAATAGGGTATTTGACAGCATTAAAAATAAAGTGCCAATTGTTAGCATCTGTGTTTAGAATGAATATTGGCAGGCGTTTTTACTATTTTGCCAAAAATAAAATCATAATTTTACTAAAAACCCACGAAAAAGATAATAGTTTTCTTATCTATGGTCACGTGTCCCAAAATGCTTGGGATTGGCGGAGCCTAAAATGACGTCACACGCAAGTAAACTTCCGGTAAAAGTGACATTACATTTTATCGTTTGACATTTTAATAACAGTCGTGTCACGTCACACACTAGTAAGACGCCATATTGTCCAGAGAAACGTTTTCGTGGCAACTTGAAAATAGAGACAACAGAATGATGAATATCTTTTTACGGACTCCATAAACATTAGTCAATAACGTGAGATCGTTTTCTAAAACCTGTCAAATCCCTATTATAACAAATGCCACGGCATCACTTTTCACTCATTTAACTATAAAAAAAGAATTCTCAAACTCAGGTTAGTTTATGAATGTTATATGCTGTCACTTTACATGGGTATTCGTATTTGCTATTTGTCTTGACAACTGTCTCTTCTTTTGAACTCCTTATAGAGTATAATAATGCCTGCTACATATGTAACGATTTATCGTAACGATTAAACTGTGCAAATCGACTTGCGCAGATTTATCGAACGTGTGTATGACAAATCGTTGTCGATTATCGTTCGTCGGTGGCAGTTGCAATTTTTATTAGATAAATCGTTGTCGATTGCGTTTGCACAGTTTTATCGTCGCGTGTGGATGGCGATCGCTCAGTTCGGCTGTAGGCTCGCAAGTGTGCGCACGTGCGGATCGCTCTTATATGGCAACATGTCTGAAGAAGAAAGAGGTGGACACCATGAACTAATGCAAGATTTCATAGAGAGCTATAGAAGTGAAACTTGCCTTTGGATGATCACATCTAAAGATTACCATGATCGCGAGTATTTTTATTTATTTATTTAAACTTTATTGACCAAAATATAAACAATGGTACAAAAGGCGGACTTAATGCTAAAAGCATTCTCTCCCAGTCAACCTTTGGGAAAAATGAGAAACACGAACAGCGGTATAAAGCTAAATACGAATAAATGTACAAAAAACATAGATACATAAATAAATACATACCATAAAAATAACGTAATACATACAAACATAATACAATAATATTTAAATATATATATATATATATATATATATATTTATATATATAGATACATATAATATATACATGATGATGATTAAAAAGTGACACTTCATCTTAAATTTTGCTAAAGATGAGCGTGAACATTCCTTTTAAATACAAGTTTACTAGGAGATCTTCTGATGGAGTCGGGAAGGTCATTCCACAGTCGTATGGCTTGAAGAGTAAAGGAGTTGGACATATAGCCTGAATGAGAAAGAGGAATATAGAGAGCTAATGAATCAGCAGAGCGGAGAGGACGGTCGTGACTATCACAGAGATACTGAAACTTGCATTTCAAGTACTCTGGAGAATGAGGGTTGGAAATAATGGTAAAAAGAGTGCAGAGTAATCTTAACTGCCTGCGCTGGCGAACAGGAAGCCATTTAAGTTGGGATCGATATGATGAAACATGGTCAAATTTGCGGAGGCAAAAGATGAAACGTATAGCATTGTTCATCAGGCGGTCCAATTTATTGAGAAGATCTGCGTTTAAATCAGGATAACAGACATCGGCATAATCAATGAGAGGAAGAACAAGGGACGTAACGAGAGTGATCTTAGTTTTGATAGGGAGAAAATTCCTGAAGCGATTAAGGGTACGCAACGAATAAGAAACGATACGGCTGACTTCGGCAATCTGCGTCGTCCAACTTAGCGTTGTATCAATATGAAGGCCGAGATTCTTAACGCTAAGGCTATATGGAATTATAGAACCTTCAAACACAACAGGTGGGAGCAGACCAACATCGATCTTGAAGATTTGCTTGGAGCCACCCACTACAATAGCTTGACATTTGGTGGGGTTAACGGCAATTCCAAAGTCAGCAGACCAAGAACTTACAGTGCAAAGTTCCCTATTGAGCTGAGTTATTCCAGCAGAAATTTCCTCAGCAGTCGTCTGCACATAAATCTGCAAATCATCAGCATAGAAATGATAAAAGCAGCCAAGCGAGAAGGAAAGAAAGTTAATGAACAAAGAGAAAAGAAGAAGGGAAAGAATGCCCCCTTGTGGAACGCCAGCAGTCAAGTCGTTCCAACTTGACAATTCACGTTCCTTGCGCACTGCCTGCTGGCGACCAGTGAGGTAAGATGAAAACCAGTCCAATGTCAAAGACGAAAAATTAAGAGTTTTCAGAATCGCAAGTAGAACATCGTGGTCCACCATATTGAAAGCATTGGAGAAGTCAATAAGGACAATAATGGTGACCAACTGGTTCTCCATGCCAAGTCGGATGTCCTCGGTTACCTTAAGTAGAGCAGTCGATGTACTGTGCCCAGGTCGAAAGCCGGATTGAAAAGGAGTAAGTACCTGCCTCGAGTGTATAAAAGGTGATATTTGTTGGTGAGCAGCAGCTTCAAGAATTTTGGAGAGGAATGGGAGGATGGAAATTGGCCTAAAGTTGTTCAGTTGTGTAGGAGTGGAAGTTTTAGGAAGGGGAATAACGTAGGCTTTACGCCAAGGAAGTGGAAAGGAACCAGTCAGGAAGGAATAATTGACGATATGGCCAATAATTGGAAGGATAATGTCTATAATATTTATAACCATATCCCTGCTCACTTCATCGTATCCTACGGCTTTCGATTTTATGGATACAATGATTTTCTTAATTTCATCATTTGACATTGGAGAAAAGGAAAATGATACAGAGTGAGATTGAGCCTTGGAAGTTATTAAATCGATAGTTTTAGATTTGATAGAGGGTTCCAAGGAAGAAATACCAGAGAAATGTTTATTGAACTCATCAAGAGAGAAGGGAAGAGACTGAGATGGAGAAGAGCTTTTACCTAACCCAAGTGAACGTAAAAACTTCCAAATATTGGCTGAAGAACAATTAGAAATATTATTATGAAAATATTGACGCTTAGCTGCCCTTACGATTCCATTGCATCTATTGCGTGCAGATTTATAGAGACGCCAGTTCTCCTCCGACCTGCTGCGCTTAAAGGTTCGGAAAGCGCGGTCCCTCCGAGTCATGGCCATACGGACACCTCTATTGATCCATGAGGCAGGTGGTCGCTTGACTCTTACCGCCTTTATTGGGGCATGAGTGTCGTACAGTTGGAGTAAACGATTATTA